CCTCCAGAGCACAGCTGGGCTTTCACTTTCTACCCGAGACCTTGCCCTAGTCCCCCTCCCCCAAGTGATTGAGTATTTATAGAACTATTTCAGGTTTGCGCTTTGCACATATTCTCATTTGGTCTTCACAACCACCCTGCCGTTATTGTCTCCATTTTACAGGTGAGGAAACTGAGGCTTGGAAAAGGGATTATTTGCCCAGGTTCACCTGGCAGGTCAGGATCTGGGGCCAGACCCTAGGTTCAATACTATGCACTGTGGCGTCCCCTGGTGGTTCCACTTTTTAGTGCGCCCTCCCTCTTGAAATTCCTTTGTATTTACTTTTCCGGGTGTATGCTTTCTTTCCAATAACAGACAGGCTCTTCGAGGGCAGGGCTGTTTGTTCTGCTTTTGTCATTGTATCCATTAGCCCAGGGTCCTGCACCTAGCAGGTCCCTAATAAACACAGGGTGTCCCAAAAGCCTTAGTGCAGTTGGGACACTTTGCTATTTGTTGGATTGAAACGCTCGGTGACTATGAATGCGTTACTTACTCGCAAATGCTGCGGTTTCCAGGAACCTTAGATGGGGTTAGAGTTGTCTTGTTTCCTAATCTCTGAGCTTTCGGGCGAATGTTTAAGAGATGGTGGATAACGTCCAGCGGTTCAAGTTTGGAAGAGAGAAAGTCTGGCTTTGTTCAAGGTCATGTGCAATCTTGAGGTTGAAACCTAGCCCCTGCTATGTATGTTAGGAAACTGACCCAGGGGTTCTGGGGCACTGCCAGCAGCGTGTGTGTGCCACGCCAGGCCGGAGACAGTTTGGGGCTTGAGGAATCAGTGTTTTGCTGGAAGCTTGGAGGGGACATTCCTTCAAAAGTAACATCAGCCTTCAAATTCCAGTCCTGTGTAGTCTGGCAACTGCCTTGTCAGCAACCCTAGAGAATGGAGTCCCTGGAGCCGGGGTGGATCCTGGGAGTTCCCAGAATCCGGCAGTTGTGGTCTATAGGATTTCTGTGGATGCGTCACTGTCCCGTGGAAGGGTGGCTCCAAACGGATTTTAAATTTTTTTCAAAGAAATAGGGAAAACTGCAAATGAATGCATTTGGGGTGAGATCCTCATATGTGGCCCCCAGAAAATTCCTTCTAAAAACTATTTCTAAGTACTCTATGCATCGCACCTATTCAAAACCAGCGTTCGTGAGCTCCCACCAGTATATTTACTTTTACCAGTCGGTCAGAGGGCACATTAATTCAAGACCAAGAAAGAAAAAATTCAATGTAAAGCATGACAAATAAAATGATGAGAAAAGATTCTCTTGTGTTCACAGAGCTCCACCATAGCTTCCCATCCCACTGATAGGGGAGATTTCATGGAGAAAATGTATATGAGCCAGGGAATTTACATGTCCCTCTATGAGAAGGGTTCTTAAGCTTTATTGGGATTTCATGAACCCCTTTGATAGCCTGGTGAATGGCCCATTCTCAAAACAATGTTTTTAAATTCACAAAATAAAATATATAGGATTACTAAGGAAATCAATTATATTGAAATACATTTATCAAAAAAAATTTTTTTTTTAAGTTCATGGACCCTAGATTAAGAACGCTGGATCAATGGCCAGGGGTAACCCGAATTTTACGTGATGGGAAGTTGTTGATATGATTTGGCAGGAAGTGTCATGCTGCTGTGTGAGGTGTCATATATTTGTACCGTCTTCCCTACTTTCTCTCATTGCCAAAGAGGTCCTCTGCTACCATTCGTGGGTCTTCAGCTCTTTGCTCGCACCTAGAAAGGTATAGTGATTAGAAAACCTCTTTCTGACCTCAAGACACTGTGATACCACAGCTTGGGAGGCCCCTAGCAGGAAAGAGCAGTGCCAGGCTGGTCCACAGAGGAAGGGGAGGCTGCTGGAAGGAGCAAGAAGATCTTATTTCAACTAATTATTTTTGCAATTATCTTGCAAAATTTAGTAGTTTTTACCTCAGTTGAAGGAGTGCAATTAATGTCCTCTAAATCTGGGCAACCTGAGCAAAACCCCATTCACTCCATTCTACTTACAACTCTCAATAATTTGAATCCTGTCTAAGACAACTCCAAAAGACTCGTGATAGAAAATGCTACCCACATCCAGAGAAAGAACTACAGAGTCTGAATGCAGATCGAAGCAGACTATTTTATCTTTTTTGTTTGTTTGTTTCTTCTTTCTTGTGTTTCTTTTTCCCTTTGGTTCTAATTCTTCTTTACCACATGATTAATGTGGAAATATGTCTAATATGATTGTACATGTACAGCCTATATCAGATTGCATGCTGTCTTGGGGAGGGAGGAGTAGAGGGAGGGGGAGAAAATTTAGAATTCAAAATCTTATAGAAGTGAATGTTGAAAACTAAGTAAATAAAATTTAAAAAACAAAAAAAAGTTGGATTCTAACTCTAAAAAATTATAATTTCAATCCTGCTATTTAAAAATGATTTGGACCAAAATAACTTTGATGGGGGTGAAGGAATTTTTTTTTTTTAATTTTTAGGCAGTTGGGGTTAAGTGACTTGCCCAGGGTCACACAGCTAGTAAGTGTCAAGTATTTGGTCTGAGGTCAGCTTTGAACTCAGGTCCTCCTGACTCCAGGGCAGTTGCTCAATCCACCGCACCACCTAGCTGCCCCAGGGGGAAGATATTTTTAAAGTAAACGGATACTGTAAACACAATTTTAGGGGGAATGTTTAAACTACCTTATAGTACAAACTGTCTCTGAGTATTTGATAAATATTCATTTAGATATAAACAATCGGTGTATTAATTAGAAATATTTTATTCACTAAAGTAGACTCCCTAACACTCTACTCAGACAAAATTTTATTTCTCTAGCTTGAATTACTTTGTGTACTTTGAAGTAACAAAGCTCTATCACTTAAAACATATTCTTCAGACTTTTCATGCATTTAGACTGCTCTATCCAGTAGTGTAGGTTTATTATATGTAAATGCCTTGTCAAAATGGGAAATCAGTCACAATTAGTTATCACTTCATTGTGTCCAGAATTTGGTACAACTAAATTTAATGTTTAAAACATTTTAGTGCAGAAATGGAAAATCCATGAAAAAGAATTAGTGAAACAAGAGCTAGTCTAGTTTTTATCAATGACAAAAATTTATTATTCACAATGTCCATATAGCTACAGAACAATAACATATTCATAGCAAGGAAAACAAGCCGGATAAGATCCTGAAATATCTCCTGAATCATCAAGAAAAATCTGTAGTTTTTATGCAAAATCCATTTTATTGTGACCTACTTGTTTGAAAATTGAGAAAAAGAAGAAAGCCTCTTCTGCTATAAACATTTCAGAACATACAGGTATTTTGCTTTTTCCCTAATCATCTTTGGAAATAGACCTAGTAGTGATATTGCTGGGTCAAAGGGTGTAGGCAGCTTAATAACTCTGTGAGCATAATTCCAGATTGCTCTCCAAAATGGTTGGATCAGTTCACAGTTCCACCAACAATGAATTAGTGTCCCAATTTTTCCACATTCCCTCCAACATTTGTCGCTTTCCCCTTCAATCATTTTAGCCAGTCTGGTAGACTATTATAAATACCCAAATTAATTATAAAGGACATATGAAGAATGATGTTATCTGTATCCAGAGAAAGAACTGATAAATAGAAGTTTGCATAAAATAATTTTACATATATATACACTTATTTGTAGAGTCTAATGGTAACTATCAAGGTAGGAGGAGAGGGAAGAAAAAAAAGAAAAAAGAGAGATTTACATGATAACTTGATTATATATTTAAATGGAATAGCAAGTGGTGCATAGTCAATTTGTATTTTTATGTGTAATCATCTTTTGTATCATACCGTGTCATTGGACATGCTTGTTTTATTTCATAAATTAAGAATAAAATAAATTTTTAAAAAAAGCCGCTCTCTGACAAGGGCAGTCACTGATTTTTTTTTCTTGGTCTCTAACTTGTAATAGTTACTCATAACTGAAGAGGACCAAAACAACATCGCCATGTTGAGGCAGTATGTGCAACCGGGGCTGATCAGACCAACGAACCGGGAAAACTTTGTCACAGGTTGGGCACAAATAGTCCATATGGGGGCAGTTAGATGGCACAGTGGATAGAACACCCGCTCTGGAGTCAGGAGGACCTGAGTTCAAATCTGGCCTCAGAGCCTTGACAATTTCTAGATGTGTGACCTTGGGCAAGTCACTTAACCCTGATTGCCTCACCAAAAAAAAAAACCCACAATAATAATAAATAAAAAAAATACATTTCTAAAAAAAAAATAGCCCATATGAATATTTGGGCTGGAGATGTTTAAGTCTATGTATCTCCTGTTTCTTTTGACCTACTGCAATTTTTTTTCGCTCATAGAGCACAGCGCCTTTTTTAAATGGGGGCACACCACACTACATGGTCCTGTTCCAGTGTCTCCCAGTCACTCCACCTACCTGAGAATCAGCAACAAATGCTGCCTGGAGTGCTCTAGGCTACAATTCATTCTATTCTTTTTATCCCGTGTGTCCTAGACGACTCTCTGACTTACAGTCTGAAAATTCTTTTGTAACTCTTTTTTAATCACTGATGGAAATTCTGTCCCCCCAAATTACTATTTGGGGTCTGAAAAAAAAAGCCCACTAGACTAGGAAGGCCATCCCACACAGCAGTGGGAGAAGACCCTCTAGGCCCTTCCTCTAGGCCCCAGGCACTCAGGCTTTGAAGCCTCCTTCGACCCAAGGATCATTTAGTGTTGCCGATTCTTCTTAGAAACATCTTGCAGGTCAACTGTTTTTGAAAGTCCCCATCCCCTCAAACTCAGGTAATAACAATGGTTACCTAATGGGTTTCCCTCAGGATCTCCCTTCTTCCATTCACCTACCCTGCAGAGTAATCTTCCAAAACCATCAATTTTTTTTGGGGGGGGGGTGAGGCAATTGGGGTTAAATGACTTGCCCAGGGTCACACAGCTAGTATCATGATGTGTCTGAGGCCAGATTTGAACTCAGGTACTTCTGACTCCAGGGCTAGTGCACTATCCATTGAGCCACCTAGCTGCCCCAACCACCAAATCTTTTAAAAATTACAATTATGTTCCTTATTCAAAAACCTTAAAGTCTTCAGGTAGTTTTCAACCCAACCAAGTAAACATGGGGGCCATTTGGTGAAAACAGTCTCTTGATGTGATGACAAATGCACAGTTAGAACTCTAAATATCAGATGTGCCCATGGAACTTTGGAGAACTTGGCCTTCGCACAGCCGTTGTCTGGGACTTCTAAGGTTGTGAGCAGCTTGGTGGGATTGGCGGACGGGGCACCCAGCCAGAAGTCTGTTTTAGGCCCAGTTCTGCCACTAGTCGGTGGCTTTGGGTGAGTCACATAACAGAGGTAAGGGACTCAGTTTGCTCATCTGTAAAATGTAATGACTGTGGTCTCTGAGGTCCCTCCTAGGTCTTGGGTTCAACAATTCATTAGTGTGCACATGAGGGCAAACGTGTTCTTGTCTCTATTAACATAGGATTTGAGAACTGGAAGGATCCTCAGTAACCAGCCTGTGTCTGGAGGAATCCCTTCTGGGACATGGGCTTCTCACTGGCTTGGCCCCCAGTCCTGGAATGCACCATCTCAGTCCTCTGGCTGCCTTCTGCAGGCCGCGCCCCTCGAGGCAGGGCCTTCCTCCTCTCCGCGGCAATCTCCCCAACCTATCGCATACATGGCTTGTTTGTCTGAAGCTCCTTCGGAACAGGCGGTAACTGATGCTTTTCTTTGCAGGCCCAGCACTTTGCTCTGTGCCAGGCACATAGTAGGCATTTAATAAACCCTCATTACCTTGACAGACCCCAAAAGGAGACCCACCCTCCCAATGGAGCTGATTCCACGCCTCAGGGTTCTGCCTTCTGGGGCTCAGCAGAAGAAGGCTAACCCCACCTTCAGGAGGTCCAATCACTTTGGTACTGGGAGCATCTCTGGGCGCTTGAGGGTTCCAACCAAGGATGTCTTTAATAAAAATAGTTCCCATGCCCTCAGGTGAAAGAGGACAGGGAGGGGAAAAGATAAAAGCCAAGGCTGAGTCCGTTCAAAGGGCTCCATAGGGGGGACCCAGGAGCTCTTGGTCAAGGCCTGAAAAATAGTTCTTTGGCTCTTCTGGTCCCAAAGGCCCACAGCTAGGGCCCAGATAAACGCACCTAGGGGTGACATTAACCAAATTGCCTCAGGTCCTCCCAAATAAGAATAAAAATTTTAAAAAGCAAGGGAGACTCTTGCCTTCCCTCCAGGAGTTTATGTTCTTATCTGGAGAATATCTGGGGTGGTAAATAAGGCTAGTGATTATGGGCTTTTGGGGAATGATGGTGTGGATTTGTTCAGAGTTCCCAGGGCTACAGGTGGAAAGGGGCAAGGGAGGTGAGGGAAGATGGGGAGGGCAGTGTATGAGTCTAGTCTGTCTTGGATTTGGTCTGGACAATGGTCAGGAGACCAAGGTGTCAGGGTCTAGCCCCCTCATTATGCAGATAAATCTCAGTGAAGTAGTTGTCCAGGCTTCTGGTCGAGAGACCTTTTCACAGCAGCATCACCGCCAGCTTTTCTGCTAAGATGTCTGCTGTTAGGTTCAGGTTACAGTCCCGAAGTGCCTGCTGGATGGTGGACACATTGGCGTCTTTATCATTTGATTTTTTCCAGAGTAATAGTGACTGGTAGAATTGTTCCCTCAGGTCACGAGGATGTGCGTAAACCATCCTATCGATGTCCACCTGGGAAACGCCAAGCTTCCGAACCAGCCTTTTCCAGTCCCGGCCCACCTGGTCACAAAGGGTATCGAAGGCGACCTCCAGCTGGGCTGCAAAATAAAGAGCTAGAGCATGTGGTCAGGGCTTTAGGAAAGAGAAATCTAGAAACCCAGTGTCCAGCATGTACCAGCGACACGCCTTTAAACATCGCTGGACATCCACCAAGGTTCTGACCTTGATACATTCCCTCTTCACCTAACACCTTAGAATCCCTCCCTCCCTTTTTTTCCTTTCCTTTCCTCCCTCCCTCTCTCCATTCCTCCCTTTCTTCCTTCCCTCTCTCCCATTCTTCCTTCCTGCCTCTCTCTCTCCCACCCTCTCTTCCTTCTTTCCTTTCTCCCTCCCCTGCTTTTCACTCTCTCCCTTCCTTCCCTCTTTCTTTTCCTCCTTCCCTTTCTTCCTTCCTTCCCTCTCTCCCATTCTTGCTTCCTACCCTCTCTCACATCCATCTCTTCCTTCCTCGTTCTTTCCTTCTCTCCAATTTTCCCTCCTTCCCTCTTTCCATCCCTATTGCTGACACTGCCATATATCTGGTCACTCTCACTTTTCTTGATTACTCATTCTTTCTCCGAGCCACTGCCACGGCCCCTGCCACCCCACGGTCAGTCACCAGGTCTCATTAATTCTACCCAAAGATTTCTTCCAGTTGTCCCTTCTTCGGCAGGACAAGGCTTGTGTCTTTGGCTTGTCAGGCAAAGTCACCATTTCTATGACCCCCAAATAATGCCCACATATCTATCTGCTGACCTGTATGACATCACAGACAGTACTATCTATCCAGGTCATTTTTAGGGATTTTTCTTTCCTAGGCATGTGGGAGAGAGTGGGGTAGATGGTCACTGAGTCTTGGGCCTGGCCATGGGGGCTTCCTAGCCATCCACAGGGACCGGCACATGTTGTAGGGATGGAGGGAGCTGGACACCTGGGGATTTGGGAATCAGACAAGGCCTTAGGATATATAAAATCAAAGAATGTCAGAACTGGTAGAAATCCCTAAACTCAGCTGCCCAATGTCCTCATTCAGATGAGAGGACCCAGAGAGAAAGGGACTTGCTCCCACTCACAGGATTTAAACTCGGAGCTTCTGACTCCAAATCCAGAGGTCTTTCCACCGCAGGATGCTGCCTCTGGGAAGTCTGTATCCTGATGCTATAAGAGGCTGGTGTTTCCTTCTTAGATGTGCCCTCCCCCTTTAATGTCATGAGGCCAACCCCAAAGCTGGGGACAGATGCCCTACCTTCCACCTTTGGATCCAGTTGCCTCCCAGGACCAGGCTTGTTTTTCACACAATTGACCAGCTCTTGCATCAGATCTTCCCTCTTTAGGCTTTGGAGCATTGAGATCAGGAAATCAGTGTTGCTCATAGAAAGTAAATTCAGCTGCATCAGGCATGAGAAGAGGTCGATCCCACATTCAATCTCATTTAGCTTCCTCTTCCCAATTTTCATCTTGCAAAGGAATTTCATGTCTTCCAGTTCCTTCCTTGACAGGTTGGAGGAGATGTGCTGTAGCACAGCTAGGAGTGGGTCTACTTTCTCCATGGCCCTTGGAGTGAAGGAGTGAGCCTACAGCTGGAAAAAAGATTCCCAGTAGTTCAGAGCCAGAAGAGGCCTCCAGGCCAAGCCAAACCTCAACACGTATCCTCTCAGCAACCCTGCCAACCAGTGACTGTCCAGTCTCTGCTTGAAGCCCTGCAGTCAGAGGGGGACCCATCACCTCACCTTCCAAGGCTGTCCATGCTCTTTGGTGATGCCCTCCAGCCTCAATTGGCCTCTTTGCAACTGCCCCTCACAGCTGCTGGTTCTGTCCTCTGGGGCCCACGAGAATAAGGCAAATCCTTTTTTCAACCCTTTAGATACTGAAGACCAAAAGCATGTCCCCTTAATCAATGCCATATTATAATCACACCCTCTCAACTCTTTGACTGGTCCTTATCAGAGCAGTTACAAATGATCTCTCAGTCCCCAAATCCAATGGCCCTTTCTCCATCTCCTTCGTCCTAGACCTCTCTGCAGCCTTTGACACCGGTTATCACTCTCTCCTCCTTGATCCTCTCTTCTCTCTAGGTTTTTGGGACACCCTCCCTGTGTGTGGGCGGCCCCCCCCCCCAATTCTCTGTCTCCTTTACTGGATCTTTCTCCACATCATGCTCTCTAACTGTACGTGTCCTTCAGGGCTCTGTCCTGGGCTCTCTGCTCCTGTCCCTCTACACTGCCTTGCTGGGTGATCTCATCAGCTCCCTTGGATTTAATGACCATCTGTCTCTATGCTGATGTTTCTCCTGCACTAACCAGCTGACCTCCAGTCCCTCATCTCCAACTACCTTTCAGACATCTCATGTCCAGTAGACAGCTTAAGCTCAGTGTGTCCAAAATGGAATCATTATCTTTCCCCCAAACTTGCTCCCCACTCCCCCTCCAGTTACTGTAGAGAGCGATATCACCCTCCCAGCCTGGAGTCATCTTTGATTTCTCACTTTCTCACCCCCCACATCCAACAGGATGCCAAGACCTGTCGATTTCCCCTCTGGACCATTTCTCCAATATGCCCCCTTCTGTCCTCTGACACTGCCCCCACCCTGGTGCAGGCCCCCATCACCTCACACCTGGACTATTGGAAAAGCTGCTAGAGGGGTCTGCCTGCCTCAAGTCTCTCCCCACTCCAGTCCATCCTCCATTCGGCCACCAAAGGGATGTTGTAAAGCACAAGTCTGACCATGTCACCTCCTACTCAGTAAACTCCAGTGGCTCCCTATTGCCTCCAGGAGCGAACACAAAATGCTGGGCTTTTCATTCATGGCCCCTTCCCCCACTTTTCAGTCTTTTTATACCTTAGTCTTCACCAGTGACACCGGCCTCCTGGCTGTTCCTGAAACAAGGTCCTCGGGCTCCAGGCATTGTCTCTAGCTGTGTGCCATGCCTGGAATGCTCTCCCTCCTCTGCTCTAACCACTGACCTCCTTGGCTTCCAGTTAAAATCCCATCTTTATTAGAAGTCTTCCCGAAACCCCCTCATTCCAGTGCCTTTTCTCTTTCAATTATTTCCTCTATCATATCCACAGCTTACTTTGTCTATATTTATTTGCGTGTTGACTCTCCTTTTAGATTATAAGCTCCTTAAATGCAGGGGCTGTCTTTTAAAAAATTTTACTTGTTTTATTTTTAATTTATGAAATAAAACAAGCATTTTCATAACATAGTATAACAATAAAAAAAAGATTTCACTTGAAACTGCAGATCTATTAGGTACAATTTACTATTCCTTTTAAATATGTAATAAAGTTATCGTGTAAATGTCTTTTTATTTCTTGCCTTCCCCCCACCTCCATGGCTACCATTAAAGACAGATATGTATCTATATGTAAAACTATTGTATACACACTTCTATTTATCAGTTCTTTCTCTGGATGCAGATAGTGTCTTCCTTCATAGGTCATTTGTAGTTAATTTGGGTATTGATAATACTCAAAATGACTAATTCACTCAAAGTTGTTCTTTTTTTAAAAATTAAACTATTTATTTATTTATTTTTAGTTTTCAGCATTCACTTCCACAAGATTTTGAGTTTTTAATTTTCTCCCCCTCCCTCTCCTCTCCCCTCCCCAAGACTGATATAGGCTCTACTTACAAATTCACATTAAGCATGTGTTCACATTAGTCATGATGTAAAGAAGAACCATGAGAAAGAAGAAACAAAACAAAACAACAGAAGAAAAGGAAAGCAAATTGTCTGCTTCCGTCTGCATTCAGAGTCCTGAGTTCTTTCTCTGGATGTAGACAGAATTTTCTATTGTGAGTGTTTTGGAGTTGTCTTAGATCCTTGCCTTGCTGAGAAGAGCCAAGTCTATCAAAGTCAGTCATCATACAACTTGGCTGTTACTAAGTACAATGTTCTCCTGGTTCTGCTCACTTCACTCAGTATCAGTTCATATAAGTCTTTCCAGGTTCAAAGTTGTTCTTAAAAACAATATTGCTGTTACCGTATACAACATTGTCTTGGTTCTGCTTATTTCACTCTTCATTATTTTGTACAAGTCTAAAATTTTTCTAAGCTCATCATTTCTTATAGTGCAGTAATATTCCATCATAATCATATACCACAGCTTGTTCAGCCATTCCCAAATGGTGGGCATCCCTGCAATTTCCATTTCTTTGCTATCACAAAGAGAGCCGCGATAAACATTCTAGAACATATTGGTTCTTTTCCTTTTTTACTATTCGTCTTTGGAAATAGACCTAGTGCGTTGTAACTTGATTCTGACATAGTGATGTCATTTTGGTCCTCTTTGAGAAGGAAGGACAACAACTAGCAGTGACATTGCTGGGTCAAAGGGTATAGGCAGTTTAATAACCTTTTGGGCACGATTCCAGATTGATTGCTATCCCAAATGGTTGAATCAGTTCACAACTTCACCAGCAGTGTGAACACCAATTAGTGTCCCAATTTTCCCATATGCCCTCCAAGATTTGTTGCTTTCCACTTCAGTCATTTTAGCTAATCTGAGGGGTGTAAAATGCTGTCTCAAAGTTGTTTTAATTTGCATTTCTCTAATCAATAATGATTTAGAGCATTTTTTCATATGACTGTAAATTGTTTTGATTTTTTTCATCAGAAAACTGCCTGTTCATATCCTTTCACTATTTATCAATTGGGGAATGACTCGTATTCTTTTAGATTTTTCAGAGTTCTTTACATATGTAAAGAACTATAAGACATTATAAGAAATATAAGACATTCATCTGAGAAACTGTCTATAAATTCCCTGCCCCCCAATTTTCCTTTTGATCTTGACTACGTTTGTTTTATTTGTACAAAACCTTTTTAATTGAATGTAATCAAAATTACCCATTTTACACCTTACTCTGCTCTCTAGCTCTGGTTTATTCATAAATTGGTCACCTGTCCATAAATCTGATAATATGTCTCATGTTCTTCAAATTTTCTTGTAATATCTCTCTTTATATCAAGGTCAGGTATCCATTTTGATCTTACCTTGGTAAATGGTGTAAGACATTGGTCTAGGCCAGTTTTCTGCCATACGGCTTTCCAGTTTTCCCAACCGATTTTTTTTTTTTTTTTAGGCAATTGGGGTTAAGTGACTTGCCCAGGGTCACACAGCTAGTAAGTATCAAGTGTTTGGTCTGAAGCCAGATTTGAACTCAGGTCCTTGTGACTTCAGGGCCGGTGCTCTATCCACTGCGCCACCTAGATGCCCCCCCAACAAATTTTTTAAGCAAATAATGAATTCTTATCCCCAAATCTTAAGTCTTTACACTTGTCAAATACAGGGTTGCTATATTTATTTGCTGCTATAAATTGTATGTCTGCTCTGTTTCATTGACCTATCTTTCTATTTCTTAGTCAGTACCAGATAGTTTTGGTAATTACTGCTTTATAATATAGTTTAAGATCTGGTGCTGCTAAACCTCTTTCCTTTACATTTTTTCCCCTTAGTTCTTTTGACATTCTTGACTTTTTGTTCTTTCAAATGAATTTTGTTATTATTTTTTCTACTTCAGCAAAATAATTTTTGGTAATGTAATTGAGATGGCATTGAATATATAAATTAGTTTAGGTAAAATTGTTATTTTTATTATATTGGCCCTGCCTACCCATGAACAAGTAATATTTCTCCAATCATTTAAATCTGATTTTTTTGGTATACAAATTTTTTTTAAAAATAATTTTATTTACATAGTTCCTGGGATTGTTTTGGCAGGTGTACTCTCAGGTATTTTGTATTCTCTAGAATTATTTTAATGGGGTATCTCTTGCTATGTTTTTTTGCAGGGTTTTTTTATGTTATATAGGAATGCTGATGATTTAAATGGATTTACTTTGTATCCTGCTACTTTGCTGAAATTATTGTTTCAGCTAACTTTTTAGTTGAGTCTTTGGGTTTTCCAAGTACATCCCCATATTGTCTGCAAAAAAGAGACAGTTTTATTACTTCATTCCCTATTCTGGTTCTTTCTCTTTCTTTTTCTTCTCTTATTGCTATTGTTAGCATCTCCAGTACAACGTTGAATATTCAGGATGTGGTGGGCATTCTTGTTTCGCACGTGATCTTACTGGGAAGGCTTCTAGCTTATCCTCATTACAAATAATGTAGATAAATTTTTTTTTTATCAATTTAAGGAAAAATCCATTTACACCTATACTTTCAAATTTTTTTTTGTGGTTACAATGTTTATTTTTTTCTTTCAATAATTAATTTTCAATTAATTTTTAGTTTTCACCATACACTTCCACAAGATTTTGAGTTTTGAATCTCTCCTCCCCGCCCCCAAGATGTTGTGCAATCTGATACAGGCTCTACTTATACATTCATATTAAGCATATTTTCCCATTAGTCATGAACTTTCAAAATTTTTAAATGGAAATGGGTGTTGTACTTTATCAAAAGCTTTTTCTCCATCCATTGACATAATCATGTGATCTTTTAAAACTTTTATTATTGATAAAACTAATTATATTAATAGTTTTCCTTATATTAAACCATCCCTGCATTCCTGGTATAAATCTCACTTGTACATAATGTATAATCTTTATAACATATTATTGTAATTTTTTAGTTAATATTTTATTTAGGATTTTTTGCACCCATATTCATTAATGAAATTGGTTTATAATTTGCTTTCCCTGTTTTTACTTTTCCTGGTTTAGGTATCAGTATCATATTTGTTTCATAAAAGGAATTTGGTAGGATCCTGTCTTTGCCTATTATTCCAAATAATTTATTTAATATCAGAATTAGTTGATCTTTAAATGTTTGATAGAATTCACTTGTAAATCTACCTGGTCCTGGTGCTTTTTTCTTAGGAAGCTCATTTATAGCCTGTTCAATTTCTTTTCTAAA